TCAGCCAAAAAGCCTATAAATAGAGGCTGAAACGAAAGTTTCTAATCAAGCATTTAAGCAGCCAAAGAGAGAATTTCTATCAAGAGCATTTACGAAAGATCTAGCAAAAGAGAAAGTATTATTCTAAACTTTACTCTCTGCTTGGACTTATGCTTCACTAAACTTCCAGTTTTCAAAGCTTTTCATTGCCATATTTTAGAAGTTTAGTTCCTAGTTGGAGGTTAGAACTTTCTTGAAACAAATCACATATTGTTGTAAACACTTAGGAGAACAGTTGTTCGGATCCTACAGTGTAAGTAGATAGATAGAGTACCTTTTGATCCCCATTGGGTCATTAGAGAAAAGTCTAAGGACTGAGTAACTTTGAGTGGTGCTAAGTGTTGTACAGGTTAGATTGGCACTAAGTGTATTGGGCTTAATACTTTAGTGAAATCCATCTGAAAGAGGGTGGGACTGGACGTAGGGGGATTACACCACCTCTGAACCAGGATATACTGTGTGTTGATTTACATTCAGTAAACAAAGCACACACTTAGCACTTCTCACAAAAAGGATTGAAGTTTGCCAGCAGAATCTTAAGCAGTTGTCTTAGCTGACCCAACTGCTTATCCTACTGCTTAATCACTTGCTTTCTTTGAGACCATTTTCACACCTGAGACGCACCTCACCATCTCTAAAAGGTCTGCTCTATCATCTCCCAGTAATTCACTTTCTAAGTATAGCAGGTGCCTCAGCAGTTCCCTGAGACCACCCAACTGCTGAGCCCTCTGCTCACATAAAAGTCACTTCATGTGACCATCTCAGTTTCATCAGCCTGCCATAAATATCATTGTCAAAAAGTACGTTCAATTCCTGAATGTCAGATCAAAATCTGAGCAGTTGCCTCAGCAATTCCCTGCTACCTAGCTAACTGCCAAGCCAACTGCTAGCCACCTAAGTCCAATCTTCTCCAGATCAGAAAAGTGATTAAAACATTCATTATATAAAGGGTAAAGACTTCCGCTGTGCATCTATTAATCTCTCAAAAGATTATAGATCAATTCCTCTAGAGGGAAATCTCTGTAAAAGTCGAAAAGATTTAAAAGTCTATTCACCCCCCCTCTAGACTTTTACCCTATCCGGGACCATCACACACTCATGATAATGAAGAAGAACATGTCAAAGCTCTGACAGAAGATGAGATGGCAGCCTTTGATGGATGGCTGATTGAAAAGAAGAGAAAAGAATCCCTTATCAAATTCCGTCACAGTGCTCATGGAGAAGGGGAACCCTCCACTGCCAATGATCTCCCCTTGGCCATGGAGAAGCTTATCAAAGAATGGAGGGACTCACCATTCACAGAAACCATACTTGAGGTAATCCCTAAACCTCCCTCTATTCATACAGAACCTCATTTTCCTTCTCCTCCCATATCACCTCCTAAACCTCAACCTCATTTCCCAACTCCTTTTGCTACTCCACCCCAATCTCCTCACCAGTAATCCCCATCCCCACAGAAATCCCTCCCACCACAGAAAACAACTCCTCCACAGAATACCCCCTCACCCTCACCCCAGAAAACTCCTTCTGTCAAATCCAAACCTTCTTCCCCTTGTAAACCAACACCCTCTAACAGAAATCGTTCTCCTTCACCTCCACCATCTCCTCCACAACAGAAAATCCCTTCTCCCCAATCAACACCCCAACAACAGAAAACCCCCTCAACTCATAAATCCCCTACTCCACCTCAACAGAAGTCACCCTCTCCTGCAACAAATTCTCCAAGAACCTCTCTGCATTCTGTCGCATCTACTCCCAAGAGACAGCCTCTACACCGTATCCTCTCTTCTGATAGTGAGAATGATGGTTTTCTTCCATCCTCCCTTGCCGGAGATCTCACCTCTAAATGGCAACCACCTCCTGCCAGAGAACCTTCTCCTCAGGAACCTTCTCTGCAACAAACCAGAAGGCCCCCTATGCATAGGTCCAGAGGACTAGGGATGCCAGAACCTGCAGGGACAGAACCCCAAATTCCCTTTAATCAGTTTGTTGAAGCTGCAGAAGAATTTGGTGGTCAAATTTTGGATGGCATGAACAAACTTATACAAATCAACGACAAACACTTTGGATTCATCCACTGCTAAGACTGAAGCTCTTTCAACTGAAGTAGAAGGCATTCATAAGACCTTATTCACATTTCACCAAACCCTGTTGACCCAAGGTGAAGCAATTCACACCATCTCTACCAATCTTGAAGAACTCCAATGGGATGATACCAAAACTAAAGAGCAGCTGTTAGAGATTGAGGAACTCTGCAAAGTCCACCGCGATCAAACCAGGGCTCTGTTTTCTGATGACAAAGAGAGATACCAGAAATTGGTTCTCCTTGAAGCAAGCTCCAAGGATATTGCCTCAGCTCTCCAAAAACAACAAGGTCTGATAGAAGGTCTCACCTCTGTTACACGGACCCTTCCAGAAACCCTTGAGCAGATTGACACATCCCAGGCAACAGAGTTTCAGAAGATTGCTATGATGATCTCTGACCTGGATGATGCCAAAAAGGGGGAAGAGGACCCTCATCCAAAGAAGAAGCAACTTGCCAGAACCTCAGTTTGCCCCTCTGTTGATCCAGCTCCTTACTTTCAGGCTTCCATGCAAAAGAAGAAAGAAGCTGGAGTCTTTAGACCCTCATCTCCCCACAGAACCTCATCCAAGAAGAGAAAAGCTCTAAACTTCAGGGAATGGAGATTAAATGGATCTCAGAGGATACGCAGAGCTCAGTTCGAAGAAATTCAACAGAAAATGACCCCTACACAGCAGCAGAACCTCTACCTTGACAGAGAAGGTCGAATAAGAGTTAGGCATGGCGGATCACTGGAAGAAGCTGAGTACTAGTACCGTAACAGAATTCTTCCAGGGAAGGACGTCCATGAAGGTGTCCTCAACTACCTTGATTGCAAGCTTTCACCCATTTGGACATCCTATCAAAGAGCTGGGAACCTCACAGAGATTAGAGAAGAAGTCAATACTGAGCTGAAAAGAATAAAAGAAATGGATGATCAAGCCATAGCTCATGCTGCAAGGGAAAATTTGTAAAAGATCATCTCTGTCTCTATTTTGTAAGGCAATTCCTTCTAATCTGTCTCTTTTGTGTGTTTGATTGCTTTCTGTGTTTCTAGTCTTGCTCTGATATCTTGGTTTTACCTGCTATCTGATTGTACTGTACTCTTACTATTTTCCTATGCCAAGTTGCCCACCAAGATTTTAATGAAAGTTTTAAACTTTAACTCTTTATGGTGAAGGCACTTCTCTGGAAATAGTTAAAGGGTTTTGGCATCATCAAAAAGGGGGAAATTGTAAGTAATATTTGTAATTAGATTTTGATGATGCTATATTAATTAGGACTTTAGAGTACCCCTCTTTAGATTTAATACATTAGAATTTTTCCTTGTAAAGTTCCTTAGCATAATCGACTGGCAGAAGGCCTCCAGAGCAGAAGGCTTCCAGAGCTGAAGGCCTCCAGAGCAGAAGACCTCCTGACAGAGGACCTTTGGCTCTCTGCTTCAGAACAGAAGACCTCAGGGTCTCTGTTAACTCTTATTCAGACAGAAACCCTCATGGTTCTCTTTTGGATATTCCTTCGACAGAAACCCTCAAGAGTCTATGATAACTTTCTCCAATAGAAGTGCTCAAGACCTTCTCTGATCAACTCTCTGCCAAAGACACCAGAAGACCTGACACTTAGAAGAATCTCACTCATCCGGTAAATCAACTGAAAGATTTCTTCAACAGCTAGGAGTCTTGAACGGAAAAGCTACAGTACGCGCATTAAATGCACATTTAATGCCTCCCGTACTCTGTAGAGTAATTGCAGATGATTGGCCGCAATGTCAAGATAGCTTTATCCCGAAATAGTAACCCGCCAACTTCGCTGGGTCCTACTGGTCAAGTCAACTGCTCGCTCATTTAATGCAGTTGTCCTCCTTCTCCTCCAACGGGAAGACAACCTCAGTATAAAAGATACACTTCGAAGAACAACCAATAACTTTGCTACCACAGTGCGCATACAAAATATTCAAACGCTAAAAACGCAAAAAGCCTCCTTGAGATTAAATCTTCATTATCTTCTACAAGAGAAGGCAGACGTTGGAAAGCTTCCTACTTCCAACTCAAGCAAAGTTCTCATCGTTCTTCAACTCTTCAAGCACTTCATATACAAACCTTTTGTAACGAAGCAAGTTGGAGGAACCCCTATTTTTAACAGAAAATCTTCTTTCACAAGAAGGACGTCCAAGTACCTGGAGCAGTGAAGTGGTGATACTTCCGGGAAAGCTCAGTGAAAGGACCAGTCTTAAGGAAGCAAGAAGTGCATCCAAGTAGACATCTACACTTGAAGAAGACGTGGAGAGCTTCTTAAGTGATAGGGCTAAGGCATTGTAAATGGTCATTTTTACAAGCTTAGTGGAACAATGGACTAGAGGAACAAGTTGTTCCTTGAACCACTATAAAAAGCCCTGGTGTCATTTACTTACTGCATTTTATTTATAGTTTTTATCTGAACTGTTTAACTCCAAAGACTTGGTATCTGTGTTCAGCAGAACTTGTCTTGTGAGTTAACAGAAGGCCTACTACCTTTGCTTCTCTGAGGCTAAACTAACAGAACCCCCTACCAGAACCTCATCGGCTGCCAGTCTGTTCTGCCAACAAAACAGGCTATTCTGTTAAATCGGGTACTTAGCTTGAAAAAGTTAAAAACCAATACAGTCTATTCACCCCCTAGACTGTATCCAGTACAACCGGGACCAACATCTACAAACACAACATTCCTGGAATTATAGCTTGGCACATATGGAAGATCTATTGTAATGTCATTTGGGGGTGATATGAATGACATCCCTGATTATAGGATGGTTATTCATCATATTAAGGTTTTCAGTCAAGATTGGTCATTCGTGAAGCTTTCTAAACTCAAGATTGGACCTCATGATCCAATTCTTTATGAAGAACACCTCATATTAAAAAACCTTCAAGTCTGTCAAACCAGCACTTCATATATTAAAGTGGAAGGTACCTGATTTAGACTTCAAGCTCAATGTGGATGCCTCATACGCGGAAGATAGTGCGGCAGGAGGAGCTGTGTTGCGGTCCAGATCAGGGAAATTTCTTTGTGCTCTTCACTTTCCTATTTCGGCATCTTCAGCGTTAGAGGCAGAGCTTATGGCGCTCTTTAGAGCGGTTTCGTGGGTTATTGATAAAGGATTTACATCATTTGAGGTTGAATCGGATTCACAGCTGGCGATAGAGGCTATTGGGGATTGTCGAAAGACTGGAAGATGGAGGAAGATGGTATTGGAGGTAAGAAGCTGGATGGTCCTCAGAGGGATAAGGTTCAGACATATTCCACGTGAAGTCAATAAGCCAACTCATTTAATGTCAAAGTTATATTCAAGTGATTTTCTTATTTTTTATTGCATTACACAACTTCCAGGTTATATACGACGTTATTTGATAGCTGATCAGCTAGGCCTTAGTTATTTTATATTTTGTTGAATTTTACTTGTACTTTTGGGTAAGGTCTAGTCCCCCCAAAAATCTTTATTTTTGATATGTTTTTCTTCTATTTTTCAGTTATCATGTAATTTGGAAAGATATGCCTTTTCCGAAGAGGTTTTGGTTTAGTCCCCATCTTCTTTTGTAATTTTTTCTCTATTTCTAAAAAAACCTGGTAAATGTTCCCCGACATTTACCCACCGATTTTGGTGGTTTACCCACCGGGTTTAAAAAAAAGAAAGGAAAGAAGTTTATTTCATCATTCTTTCCAAAAGTGAATCGACAAAGTGGTGAAGGGAGTTCTGAACCTATACCTACGATAGTGCAAGATCTACTCAATGAGGTTCCTTCACAAGCCCACGTCTCTAAAATTCAAACTATGCAAATTTGGAGTTGCCTTCATCTTTTTCCATTGAGAGAGATCTGGGAAAAAGAAAGAAAATTCATCAATATCCTGTCAATGTACGAGATGAAGTGAGACGTGAATATCAAAATGTTGGGCCTTATCAACCGAGAATGGAATCTTATTCAGTTACAAAGTTTGGGGCTCAAAACCGAAGTTTTCAGAAACAATGGTTTGACAAGTTTAATTGGTTAGAGTACTCACCTTTGACTGATAAAGCTTACTGTTTTTGTTGCTTCCTTTTCTTGAGTGACATTCATATGCATAATACTTCTACATTAGTTAACGAACGATTTCGATGCTGGAAGAGGATAAATCAATGAGATAGATGTGCATTTCTTCAGTACATTGGTACTATAACATTATCACCTCATATGATGTGTGTTACAAGAGCTGAAAATTTGAGGCAACCATCTGGCCATATTAACATTGTTTTGCACGCCCAATCGCAACAAGAAAAGGAGAAAAATCATTTGCGATTGAGAACTGCTATTATAACTGTGCGATGGTTAGAACTTCAAGGTTGTTCCTTTAGAGGTCATGATGAATCTCTAACATCATCAGATCGGGGAAACTTTATTCAACTAATGAAAGCTTTTGCGAGTATGAATACCAATATTCATGAAATTGTTCTTGAAAATGCTCCGAAAAATGTTCAGTACATTGCTCTCAAGATTCAAAAAGATATCATGAATATACTTGCGAATAGAGTTCGTCAAATAGTTCGTAAAGAAATTGCAAATAGTTGTTTATGCATTCTTGTTGATGAAGCACAACATATATCCAAATATGAGCAGATGGTGATTATTATAAGGTTAGTGAACAGTGGTGGAGTTCTTACATAGCGTTTCTTTGCCATCAGAAGTGTTGGTGACACTACAACAACAACCTTGAAAGATAAAATATGGCATGTGCTTGGTCATCATGATCTCCAAGTTTAAAAAATGAGAGACCAAGGGTATGATGGTTGGAATAATATGCGAGGTTCATGGAATGGCCTTCAGACATTATTTCGTAGAGATTGTCGTTATGCATATTACATTCATTGTTTTTCACATCGCTTATGACTTGCGTTGGTTTCTGCAACTAAGGATGTTAATTAGATTTGGTAATTTTTCTCTCACTTGGATAATATTGTTTATATTATCACTTCTTGACCAAAGAGGGTATCAAAGTTGCGCATGTCTTAACGAAGTGAAATTGAGAAGTTATTAGCTACCGAGGAGCGCGAGTTGCGACGTGGTGAAAATCAAGTTGGTGATTTGCAACGATCAAGATCTACTCATTGGGGTTCTCATTGAAGTTCTCGGGACCTATACAAAAATGGAAAACTTGAATTCGTGTTTGTCTTACACTTGATGCATAAACTTCTGAGAATAACTGATGCTCTTTGTGAGGTTCTTAAAAAACTCTTGATATTTTGAGTGCTATTACATTTGTTAGTACTACTAAAATTATCCTTTCAGAGTTAATGGCATCTGGTTAGGAGGTATTTCTTAAAGAAGTCGAGAGTTTTTGCTCTTCAAATGATATTGATGTTCCAAATTTGGATGATTCATATAAGATTGGGCGTTCTCGTTTCCAACCTACAATAGAACATCATTATCATTTTGATGTCTTCAATGAAACGATTGATTTTACTTTGATTGAGTTAGGCACTCGCTTTAATGATACATTCATGGAACTCCTCCATCTCATTTAACAGTGAGGATATTTGTAAACTTGCACAAAAGTTTTATCCTGCAGATTTCACTGATCAAGACATTGTCTCACTTGAGTTTGAGTTGATTCAATAAAAAGGTGTTTCTTGATAATAAGGAAGGACCCACTCCAATTTGGGTACCTGATCTTATTTGATTGTTTTGCAGGACGGGCATGTGTGGCACTTAGACTCAGGATGCTCAACCCACATGACCGGCATAAAGCACCTTTTGAGCAACTACACCAACTGCTACGGAGGCAATGTTAGATTCGGAAATGACGCCTCATCTCCTATCCTTGGGTATGGGGACGTCGTCTGTGCCAGTGTCACAATAAAAGATGTTTCATTCGTCAAAGGGCTCAAACACAACTTACTGAGCATTGGACAATTCTGTGACAGCGGGATGGAAGTGAGGTTCTTTGCAAAACAATGCTGTGTTCTTGACAGCACAGGGAATACATTATTAACGTGTTACAGAACATCAAATCTGTACACTATTGATCTGAAAAGCGTCCAATCCACCACTTCCATCTGTCTGCTGTCCAAAGCTTCAACTGAACAGAACAACCTATGGCACAGACGTCTCTCCCATCTGAACTTCAAACATCTATCCACCCTGTCCTCCAAGAAACTTGTTAAAGGGCTTCCTCTGCTAAAGTCTTCCGCTGAAAATCATTGTAGTGCCTGCAAAATGGGCAAAATGACGCGAAGCTCCCACAAGTCAAAAACTGAACCTTCATCTACTCATCAGTTGCAGCTAATACACATGGATCTGTGTGGACCTATGAGAGTACAAAGCATCAACGGTTGCAAATACACTCTGGTGATCGTTGATGACTTCTCTAGGTACATGGACAAAATTTCTTCGATCAAAAGACGAAGCTGCAGAAAACATTATGACCTTTATCAGAACGATCCAGAAACTGCTACAGCACAGTGTTCGAATTGTCAGAACTGACAATGGTACCGAGTTTAAAAATCAGACTCTCACTGAGTTCTATGAATCACTCGGTATCACTCAGCAATTTGCAGCAGCTAAAACTCCCCAGCAGAACGGAGTGGTTGAGAGAAAGAACAGAACTCTTGTTGAAGCAGCACGCACCATGTTAATCCAATCAAGATTGCCTCACTTCATGTGGGCAGAGGCAATCAATACCGCGTGCTTCACTCAGAACAGAACCTTCATCCACAAGCGCTTCGACAAGACTCCATATGAGATCCTATTCAACACAACTCCTGATATCTCTTTCCTCAAGGTTTTTGGCTGCAAGTGCTTCATACTCAATGATCGGACAGAGAGAAGTAAGCTGGATCCCAAAGCCAGAGAAGGCGTGTTCATTGGCTACTCACTGCAATCCAAAGCTTACCGAGTCTATCTCAGAGACAAGCGGACTGTCATCGAAAGTGTAAACGTTACATTCTATGAAATGGCAGACTTTGCTATTGAACATCTCCAGACCGATCCATCCACTGCTGTACCAGTAGCTTCTGATAAAGCTGAACCAAACACCGAACACGACGATGTGATTCTCGACTCTCTCTTCAGACACTTTTACGAGAACTCACAATCTCCACCTCCTGCATACACTCCAGAGACAACATCAACGCCAACAGCAGAGATTCCGCTCCTCACAGGACCAGATGATGTTCCATCCACACCCTCAACCCCACAAACCAATCCCAGAGGTGTGGATGATCACGGCTTTGCCATAAGTTCGGAATCATCTCCACTACACACCACAGCTGCCCCAGAGCCTTCAAATTCATATCAGGACTCAGATCAACCAATAATCACTCCAACTCCTCTAGCTCATGAGAGGAAGTGGACAAAAGCACATCCTGTTGAACAAATAATAGGTGATCCAAGTCAAGGTGTGCGAACGAGATCAGCAACAACAAATGAATGTCACTATGCATGCTTCCTAAGCAAGAATGAACCGTCCAAAGTCTCAGAGGCACTCACTGATCCAGATTGGGTGATTGCCATGCAAGATGAGCTCAATCAGTTTGACAGACTAGATGTGTGGACACTCGTGCCTAAACCCCCTCAGAAAACCATCATTGGCACAAAATGGGTGTTCAAGAACAAGAAGGACGAAGAAGGCATAGTGATACGGAACAAGGCACGACTGGTCGCTAAAGGATATAATCAGCAAGAGGGCATAGACTATGATGAAACATTTGCACCCGTAGCAAGAATTGAAGCAATCCGCCTTTTTCTTGCATACGCAGCCCACAAGAACTTTACTGTCTTTCAAATGGACGTCAAGACTGCCTTTCTGAATGGAGTCTTGGAAGAAGAGGTCTATGTCGCTCAGCCCGAAGGATTCATAGATCCCAGATATCCCGACCATGTGTACAAGCTGAAGAAAGCTCTGTATGGGTTGAAACAGGCACCAAGAGCTTGGTATGATGCCTTAACCGAATTTCTGGTTGATTCAGGTTTCTCAAAAGGGAAGATTGATATGACACTCTTCATCAAGCGACAGCAGTCTGACATCATCCTGATTCAGATCTATGTTGATGACATTATCTTCGCCTCCTCTAATCCACGCCTGTGCAAACACTTTGAGAAACTGATGAAAACCAAGTTCGAAATGAGCATGATGGGTGAACTGAATTTCTTCCTAGGCCTGCAAGTAAGACAACTCTCTGACGGCATCTTCATCAATCAGTCAAAGTATATTCTGGAAATGCTTAAGAGATTCAACATTGATAGCAAATCTTCCATGACAACCCCCATGTCCCCAAACAACAAACTGGACTCAGA